ATTTTCATCTCCCAAATAAGCTTTTTTTTTTTTTTTTTCAGTCTCTAAACTCATAAAGTTCAAGATGTTATAGCTATTGTACCTTCACTTAAACTTCCAGTCAATACAGCAAATAAAAATTACTATAAAGTACTATCTATCTGCTGTAAGGACTAAAAATACTTATCTATACATTTTTCCAAATAAGGATTTAGACATTCCATAGGAAAAATGAAAGATTATAAATGAATGAACTATGTTTTCCACCTTCTATAAGACTACCTTTACTTTTCTTTACTTTTCTATCTTAAAAGTAAAACCACTCCGAACTATACTATAAACTACTTATTCCTTTGGCACAGAAGGACTTACTGATCTAATTATTTCTCTGTTAAACTTATATCACATGTAGTGACCAAGTCTATCCTCAACAGTCAAAAAATGTTTCCATTACCAGCTAGCAATTAAGAATATTCACAGGAACTGAGTTCTCACTGTATATACTACCTTACCTCTTACAGAGAAAAAAAATTACACTGATGGACTGGTGAGGTGTAGAATGATAGAAGTAGTGGTGCTATATTATAAAGGCAAGTGAATAAATTTTTTTTTAATTAGTAAGTAATCAAAAAGACTAATCAGCATGCTGCATAGAAATATTCAGATAGGATCCAGTCTAATCAACAATATAAAACACACTAATTAAAGGTGATTTCAGTAGTTAATACAATGTTTATCTTCCACTGAGAAGAAGGACATCAAGTGCATTTATCTTTCCTTTAAAATATTCTGGGAAACTTTTTGCTTTTGATATGGACAAACACACATCACAGTCACACTGCAGTATTTTTATCCATTCCTCTATGTATATGGAAGGAAAAAAAAAAAAACTATCTCATTCTCTCTTGTTTCTGTTAACATGTATGGTGTTGACAAAGTCTAAAATACACTTTTGTGTCATTAAGTCACCAGACTTAAGACTTCCTGGGAAAAATAAAATTAAAAGTGAAATGAAAAGTTGAAGGTAACTTCTTTCTCCTATAATGAAAAATAATAACAATTAAACAGCTACAGGTGTTCGTGGCCATCTCATGACACAAGAGCTAAAGGTATACTCTTTTTTGCCAAAGTTACTGGAAAACTGAAAGGAAGTACAGAGGAATTTAAACTGCATAGTTTAACCACAAAGGAAATAATCTAATGTAATCTGATTAGATTAGACTAGATTTGATCTAAACCATACTAAAAGTATACTACAGTCTAACAGACAACTCTAGCTATACAAATGTTCCCAATCAAAAAATGGTCAAAAATATTGTGCAAGATGCTGACAGGCCATACATTGCCATACTCTGTATTTTTTAAAAATAAAGGCAGTAACATATCAAACTCTGTTTGACCTTATGACGTACAATCTTTTTCTTGTTCCTAAGGTCATCTGGAAGTTGAAGCTTATATACACCACCAGAAAAAGCATGCTGAAAATACAAAATAATCTTGAATATGATGAAGTGAATGAGGTCAGAGGGGCCATTAGGTTGGCTGACAGCAGTTTACCACATCAGAACAGCAGGAGTAGTTGAATTTACAGACACTACACATAGAATATACAATACTAGATACTAAAACGAGTCTGTGATTGATTTTAGTAAGAAAAGTATGCTAAGGCTGATGTAGCCACTTGCAAGAATTTCACAGGTGAAAAAGCTGTGTTTTTTCTATCGGGGAAAAAAGGATTGAAGAAAGCAGAGTGTGCATTATGTGTGTGTGGATAGACAGCAAGATAATCATACAGGCTTCAATATCCTTCCACAAGCCGTAACATTCTGCATAGCTACAAGGCAATGCCAAAAGCCAAAGGGATATAGATAATTTTGATGGAAAGAATGATACAGACATCTCTGAATTTAATTCAGGTAGGCAGTAGGGTAAAAGATCTTTCATACAGTCCATCTAGCTCAAGAGAAGGCACACTGCTGTGTATGTGACCTACAGAAGATAGTTCCAATACTTCAACAACATACATTTAAAAAGTAATCTGGCTGTTCTGGTGCCAGTGCATCTTCTCAAGACCAACTGTGGTACCTTAGAGGATAAAATATAATGAAGCATTGGAACAAAGTTATGACAAAGAACATGAGGGAGAGAACAAGTTACAGGGATGACTTATAGACTCATGGACTCATTTAATACTGAAAAAGCAGGCATGCTGTCTACCAATGTTTGCAAATAGGCTCTAAGTAAATAGTCAGAGAATAGCAAAATTAGCAAATTGATCAAAAGGATCCATGATACATTCAGGGGAATTGTCATGGATTCATTCAAATGACTTTACACTGGTGCCTGAAATGTGAAAGGCAGTGAATATGTGTAGAAATAGCTGAAAGGGGGGTTGTTACCCAGACTGATGTCACCATTTATACTTATAAATACTTGTAGATTTTATCTCATGGAAAGCAGACATTTGATTTTAGAGAGCAATTACTGAAGATAAATGCTGAAATTTATGCTTATATGAATATGGAGAAATGTAAAAGAGAGGACACAAGTGGGATAATAATAAAAATATCTACACGTATTTCAGATGAGGAGAGAATAGGGTAAGAGCAGTCTAGTATCCCTCAGGCAAAAATAAACACCTTTAGTAAAAACATGGGAAACACCTCATCCACAGTTAATCTCTCTGGTATTCCTTTAATACTTATATAGATGTTCTTGTTATTTTACCAAAATAAGCAAGAAGCATTTAGTAGAACTAAACTATCATGGGATAGTGATAGGCTTTATGGAATGATTTCATCTTCCTTTAGAGTTTGCAACTAGAAGGAAAAAAACTCCTCAAATAAAGGAATGCTGTGTATACTAAATATATATGCGAGCAAGATGCATCACAAGAGAATATGTCTCTCCAAGACTGAAACTGAAAGCACTAATCATCTCAATCCTTACAAGAAAAATATATCTGTGATGGATTGATCCCGGGCCAGCAGCTAAACATTACACTGCCCCTCACTCCCCCACCCCTCTCCAGAGGGACAGCAGAGAGAATAGGAAAAACAAGAAAACTCATGAATTGAAGTAAATATAGCTTAATACACAAAGGGAAGAGAAAAAAAAAAAAAATCAGCCCAGAACAAAACAACAGATGCAAAGGCAACCACATCATCTCTCACAAGCAAAATGATTCCAAGGCAGTCTCCAAGCAATGGCTAGCTCCCCTCAAACCCCCTCTTCTCAGTTTTTATTGCTGAACATAATGTTACATGGCATGGAATACCCCTTCATTCCATCCAGGTCAGTGGCTCAGTTTGTGCCCCCTCCCAACTTCTTGCCCAACCCTGGTCTATTGCTTGACTGGGAGCAGAGCAAGAAAAAGAGAAATCCTTGATGTTGTGAAAGCACTGCGCAGCAACAACCAAAACACCAGTGTGTTATTAACATAGTTTTAGTCACAAACCAAAACACAGCACCATACGGGCTGCTATAAAGAAAATTAACTCCTCAGCCAGACCCAGTACAATATCAGAAGGTGCTTTTCTTCAAAGAATTCTCAAAATGCACACATTACTGTTTGGGGAACTGGAATCCCTTGGGATTGCTCCATCTAATACACACAGTGCACAGAACAGGAGTGAAACTGCTTCAAACTACCATGGTGGTAACTGAACTCAGTGGTTTAAATGTTCTATCTTTTTCAACTTATCCTTTAAATTTAAGAACACTGATGGCAAGTTGATGATGACTTGATGTCTAAATGTGCACCAGAGATCTGTTCCCTTAAATCACAAGAGAACTTATAAGTCTTGAATGGTTGGAGGCTTGTAATAGATTGGGAAGGGTCGGACTACGTGAAGTGGTCAGCTGAAGTAGGAAGGAAGTAAGTGGTAGAGGAAGTGATGGCAGACTAAATAAAATGGATTAAGAGTTCAGACAAAGACTGCGGAAGAACCTAAAACTTTTCTGGACAATTTACTATTATTCACCTGTGATGCCTTAACATAAAGTCTGGGAGAGGAGTTGACAACTGATTTGGGAGACTAATTTCTCTACGTTAAAGCAGCGTAACTGTCCTACTAGAAAAATAATGTTTTCCAGGTCATTTTCAGGAAACAGGTAACAAATCTGGCATAGATCAAGAAAGGTATACATATGAATTTCTGGTACCTCCTGGTACTAGGTGACTTGTATAGTTGATGCTTCAATGGAGATTCCAATTCTCTCATTAACAATAATTAAAAGTAAATATAGAGCAACCCATAAAGAAAATGAAAAGTAACAACAGTGACTGAACTTCTGTTCTCATACATATGGAGAAGTGTGGACTGCTTGGACCACAACTACCATCAGATTTGAGGCAGTTCTACCACATGGAATGGCTTGCAGAAAACAGCTGATGAATGCTGTGATGTGTTATACCTTTCTCAAACACATTATTTACTGAAGCTTTATTGAACTTCACTTTTGCTTTCATCTTTCATGAAGTCCCGAGAAATCACCTCTGACATCCTATTCCATGGCTGCTTTATGAACCATTACTTAGGTCTCTGAGATGCAAAAAGATTCTATGATCAAAAATACAATCTCTTGTCTCTATGAGTTTCTATATGACAATGATATGCAGCATAGCCATGATTGTGCATTATTTTATAATTTTTAAAGAAAAAGCAGAGTTAATTGACAATATTAGAATTCAGGAATATAGAAGCATTCTATCAGAGATAGAGAATGAAATGTAGTACCTTAAAAATCAATTCAAGTAATGCCAAGCTTAAAGTCTGTACTAGCTGGCGATGCTAACTGAATTCCCAAGATAGAATATAGAAACATTTGTAGGAGCTGTATTTATTGTCCTTTTTTACTTGTATCTTTGGTAATCGCCATGCATGCCGTTAATCTCATGAGAAGATGGACTACACAGTTTTTAATAAGAAGACTTCATATCTCCACTCAAAGAATTCTTATAGATCCACCACTCCATAGTGAAATATTAGGTGCAGCTAGCTAACCCAATGTTTCCCCTTTTAGATTACAAACCTTAATTTATCTGTTCCAGCTTTGTACCTTGAGATTCGACCCATTGACAGAGGAACTGATAAGGTGTCTAGCCAGTGCTTCTCGTATTTTGGTTCATTAGCTATGGGTGAAGAAGGTGATGATGGAGCCTGTGCAGAATAAATGAGAATCAGTAGGTGCAGTTTATCAGACAGTATAGTAAAGAAACTGTGAATATGCATCTTTGGCTCTGCTTGTCTCAGAGTAAATAATCATAGCGATAAAACTATTCTAGAAACTCAGGATTTAGTAGAGAAATAAAAAGAGGTATTCATGCAGAAAGGAATGCTACCCATATTATTCTTGTGACTTAATTTCAGTATTACCTTAACATTAACATTAATTTATATTTTTATTAATGTTTATATTTGACAATAGAAAGGAAATAGTTTTTTGTCATAAATGTCATGAATTTTCTCTAGATGCAACACAAAATACATTTTCGGTTTAAATTAATTTGGTCTGTGCAACTCTTCTACATACTTCAAACAATCATCAGAGAAAAAGACACAAAAAATAACCTGATGTAAAGACTACATTAGAAAATACTGCTTTTCTATTTTGCCCATTGTGACTTTTATCCATAATGTGATTTAACAGTAGGTTTAAAATTCTGATTTCTATATATGGACTGATGAATTTTGAAATGCTTCTACTAGAAAGGCAAGATTAGTGATAGTATCTGAGCAGCAAAGGATGTCCAGGTCTCAGAAAAATGAAAATATAAAATTTTACAATCAAGTTACATTTCATGTAACTACGGTGTACAAAAGAAAATAAACTTAAAAGTTAGGGGAATTAGTGTGGATATATAGCTGTTGATAAAACAGTCTACTCAAACCTAAGGTAGAGCTTATATACAGACTGTTCAACCTGCTCACAAATGTAGCATCTTACATATTTCAACTAAATAGTGCATGAAGGCACCAGGAATGAAACATGATAAAAAGAAAATATATATGAAATTTTAAAAGTTGTCACAGAACTACTAGTTCTAAACCATTCAGGAAACAGTAGTGAGTTATACTTAGTTATATACTATATCTTAGTCAATACATGCTTGCAGAATATGCAGTTTGTTCCTTGTGAAATAATACCCAGAGGTTCACATCACTGTATCAATGACTGAAAGTGCAGAACTATGTGCAAATTGTCAAAAGAGATGATAACTGGTTTTGTTTGCAAATTATGTCAAAATAGTGTTTACAGCCAAAAACCAATTAAATTAGAAACAGATTATTAAATGCTGGAAACCACTGCTTAGTGTACCAACTGAGATTTATGAGCATGATTATGAGCTTTGAAAATTGCTTATTAAGTAAACAAAAGAATAAGCTAGGAGTTTCTTATAGCATGCAGAATGATAAATGGAAAAGTTATTATTAGTATTTATATCTCCACACTGCCATGACAGCTGATCGTTTCACTCCTTTATGAAGATAGCAATACTATTTACAGAGAGGCAGCTGAGAAGGATTCACAGACTGAGGAGATTCCCAGATTCCTGAGAAGGGTTCCTATTTAGGTCAAAGTTAGGCATTTGTGCTGTCTCCAAAACTAAATTATTTGTCCCACATTGTACAGAGAACTTTCTGGTAGAGAACGGAGTTGAAAGTTAGTTATTTTCATATGAGCTATAAATATGCACTGAGTAGTACTTACAAAAGCAAATAAACCACAGAACAATCCAACTTCAGCCCTGTTATGCCCAGGTGTTCAAAAGCCATCAAACTTACTCAAAATAAAGAACATTCTGGGAATTGTTCTATTTCTTTTTCTTGCTCATAAGGATTTAGGGTTATTTTTTTTCCCCCTAAAGCTCCTTCTTACAATCATCAAGGGGTGATCTTTCTATTTACTTATTTATATAAATCAAAACAGTGAGTTTCACATTCTAACAGGATGACTGAAAGTTAGTGGCTGAGGGACAGTTTTCTAGTAAATGAAAAATCTGTAATGGAATTACCAGAGTTGGTAACACTGAAGAATCTTTTAGACTGCAATCTCTTTGGGGAAAGGAATTTCATTTAGAGTATTTGCAATCCCTAAAACAATCCAGCTTCCATTTGACTGAGATCTCCTGGTGTTGCTGCAGTATGAGTATTTCATAATCAAGTCCATAGACAAATTCTATTTCATAGAACTAGCCACAAAAGGCTAAGGTGTCTGTCTCCAAAGCTTAGTATAAATTCAGTAATATCACAGCAACGAATCTGAAGCATATTTTAGAATTCTGTATAAATTAAAATAATTGTCAGAACCACATGCAATCTGAAGTAGAAAATGATCATCATAATCTAACATGCCTGTCTGGAAACTGAGATGTCTAAGAATAAAGCAGAAGGTAGCTTATTACAGTCAAATATAAATGCTTGAATATGATCACTGAATTTAAATCCAAGAATCAGAAAATAAAGGAACATAAAAATTCCTGCAGCACCTTCACCTATTGTTCCCATTCTCTCAACTCTCAATATACATAAAACATCTAGATGATTTAAACATAAAACTCTTGTCATTTTCTTGTGAACTAATAGCTGCATTTCTTTTAGCACACTGTTGAACAATATTCTGTAATATTCTAGGTGATTTAAGAGCATTTAGCAACAAAAAATTCATGAGTAGGTCATTCTGGGAATTTAATGTTTCCATTTGTTCCCTTACACTTCAATCAAATGCTTTAGTAGGATACCAATGTAAAGAAAAAATATCTCATTTTAAGTAAAGATCAGAATTTTAGAAAATCTACATCACAGCTATTCATTAGATTCATTAATTTAAGGGGGAAAATGGCCAAAACCACTTGGTTAAAATCTATTAACCTCAAAGTTATGATACTACAGTATAGAAATACTAATGCCAAAATGCTAAACTGTTACAACTGATGCAAACTCCTGAAGAAAATGTGGCTTATCCATACATTTTCAAAGTTTTGATATTTGAAAAACAAAGTATAAAGAGTAATTTATTTTTTTCCCAAGTTCTGGACTACACATACCTTCAGAAACCCTACCACATGATCTGAACATTAATGACCAAGAACATGGAAAGGATACGAAAGGGTCAGACCGGTCCAAGTTTCAAATATCTGTTTCCTACTAAGCCATATTCTACTAATCAGTTTATGGTAGAGCATGAAGTTGGACTGTCCCCTCTTTATCTTCTTAAGGACAAAAGAGCACATATCTATGGCCGTAAGACCATTGCACAGAAATGAAATACCTGGTCATAGTACCAGCAATTACTTTAGTTCAGTTTTTCCTATAATCTATTAACACTTCAATCTGAGATAGATCCTTTGCTGTATCCCCTTCAAAACACAGGATAAAAATAAACTGGGGAAAAAGCAAGTCAATACAACTTTTGCAAACAGAAGTCATGCCTCACAGATCTTTTACAGTTGTCTAAAACTGTTGATTAATATGAGAGAAGCAATTGCCAAGGCATACTTGGGTTTCCAAAAACCTTTTGTCCCTCACAAAAGGTTCTTAGCTAAATTGCTGTGAAATAAGGCAAAATCCTCACACAAATTAATAATTAGCTAAAATACAGCAAGAAAAACACAGCACTTAAGAACCAGTTTTCACTGCGGAGGGGCACTATCAGTGGACTCCCACAGTTACATATGCCGTTCAGTCTATTGATTAATGATCTGGACAAGATAGTGAACACCAGACTGACCAAGTTTTCTATGCACAAGTAACAAAGAACAATAAAAAGGAAACCAAACTGTAAACAGCTGCAGAAGCAGCTCATGATACTGAATGACTGAGACATAAAACAACTGCTAAAAATATAGTAGATAAATGTATAGTAATGCACATGAGGAAAGACAGTATTAACTTTCCTCATACTGTAATGGGATATAAATAGGTGATTAACATTCAAAAATATCTTGTTGTTGTGGGAAAAGCAGATGTTGAAAGGAATGGAATAATTTTCATTGAAATAACAATTAAGTAAACAAAGATTCATTAGTCTGGGAAAGAACCAGCTGAGGATATTGTATGATAAAATGTATATAAAAAAAATTACAGAGAAAAGGATTAGGAAGCAGTGGTTCACTTGCCCTTTTCCATAGAAGAAGCAGAGATAGGGATTAGAAGTAAAAGACAGTAGGATAAAAACAAAGAATGGATACTCTATAAAACAAACTCTGTCCCAGGAAGGCCCTATGCCAGAAATCATTTGTGGTACAGGAAATACACCCTACAAATAATTTTTCTTATTTCCTCTGCTTTTCTATTCTCTTGAGGGCATCTGTTGGGAACAAGCTATTTGGCTAGATGGTCCTTTGGTATGACCCAGTGTACTGAGCTGGCTGACCTTCAAGCCTTCTGTCTACTAAACAGCTGCTGCTGGTCATGTTGAAAACTCTCCACGCCGTTCCTCCACAGCAATAAAAATTTGGCTGTTTAGACATCATCTCTGCAATCACAGCTTTTATCCTCTGGTTCATTTCACACCTTTGGCATTCTGCTGAGACCACCAACAATGTTTCCAGTTAATGCCAATTTGTTTCTAACACCTGTCCATTAAGAAATGGATTGAAAACAAAAATCTCATTTTTGACAGAACACTGAACAAGAATCAGGTTGTAATGACACATAATCACTACCCACCTAGGACAGCTGTGTACTGTTGACCCGGAGGAGGGTCTGATTCTGTATCCCATTAGCAATTATTGACCTATGAAAGACAATGTAGGCAAGTGCTTTGTTGCTTTTTTAAACAACTATATAACAACTCGTTATGGGGCAACCAAGAAGTCTTCCCAGAAGTAGAATGACTGTAGAAATTCTTCCACTAAGTGGAGGACCTAAAGAGACATGACTGTATAATTAAGTTTCCATTAAGAACATGGAAGGAGGCAAAAGATCACAGCTGGCTGGAACTGTCAATTTTTTATCATTTTGTGACATACGATTTGCAGAGCCTGGGAAAATCAGTTATTTTCACAGAATCACAGAATAGTTTGAATTAGAAGGGATCTTAAAGATCATCTGGTTCCAATGCCTCTGCCATGGGCAGGGACACCTTCCACTAGATCTGGTTGCTCAAAGCCCCGTCCAACCTGGCCTTGAACATTCCAGGGAGGGGGCAGCCACAA